GACGCGTGCAAAAATAGGCTTCTCCCGGGAGGGCACGAAATAAAGAAAGAGAGAGAGAGAGAGAGAGAGAGAGAGAGAGAGAGAGAGAGAGAGAGAAAAGATACGACCCATGAAAATAATGAAAGTCAGAGTTACGTGCGATTCTTATCCTCCCCTTTTATATGTATATTTCTCATACCCTAAAAAAAGATCTTCCATCATAAAGAACACACATGTGCTTATAACCATCTAATGATATACTAAAAACATTAGAAAACAATTTCATATATTTCTCTCTTTCTCTCTCTCTCTTTACTTTATTCTTTTTTTATTTAAATGAAAATATTCATTTAACGATCAAATCGTTTTCTAATCAAAATGTAAGTTTTACCAATAAATATCTTCGGATATATCGGAGACCGGATTGCGAATTCTTTTTGGTCGAATCTAGAGAAAGTAGCCCGGAAACTAGCATATAAGTAAATATTTCAATACGTAAGACTATCAGAAAAAATTGGTGGACTTTAAACATAAATATAGTTTAAACCGGTATAAATAGTTCGGATACCGCCGTGTAACTCAAAAAAAAATGTTCAAATATTGCTCTTATTTATAGAAAGTAGAAATAGTAGTTAAACCACTTGTTTTAGATAATCTCGAAATCTCGAATAGACGAGCATTCCTCGATGAAAATGTGTTTGTTAATTTTGGAATGATTCTTTCGGTTTGTTAGTTGATTTGTTGGCCTATGCATCGGCGTTCGGAAATAATTGACAGAGCGTAGCTCCGTTGCTGTGCAAGTTCCCTCGGTGTACGGGTTCGTTCGTCAGGTCATTTCTCTCTCGGCCAACGGCCGTCCACAAAGGTGGACAAACTAAAGAGTCGCAAAGAAAAAAAACAAAACAAAACATAAAAAATAAGTAAGAAAGAAAGACTATGCAAATCGAAATTATTTTCAAAATACATACACATCTATGTATAATGTGTATCTGTACGTGTATCGCGTGTACCCGTGTACAACGTATGTCGCCGCGACATAACAACACACGCACGCATATACATATATACGCATATAAGAGACGCACGCGCGAAAGGGGCGTATAAAGTATACGGCAATAAAGTGTTATTCACAATAGGCTAATACACAAGTAAAATCTGTCTTTAACATCTCCTACTATAATACAAGAAACGAATGTTTGACAATGTTCGTAAAACGTATGACCATTCAAATATGGCGCCACTCAAGATGGACGCTTTTAAAGAACAACGATTATCCGTAACAATATAAGGACGAGCACGTAAGTAATTTACATTTCAACGTATCTACGACTGATCGATAATTAGTATATACTTATAGGAATAATAATAAAAAAAGAAAATAATTAGAATAACCTCTTGAATGCGCTGTAATTCTAATGCAAGAACTTTCATTTAAAATTTCATAATAAACGTAACAAAATTTCAAGAAAAAATCAATAGGTAATTTTCAGTGTTATCCTAGGAGAAAAATCAATGAACTAATTCTTCCTGAAAGAATATAGAAGAGTCTTGTTTATCGAGACAAATGGTTTTCCTCTTCGTTCCTTTTTCAACAGCACGTGCACGATAATTACAAATAAACGAGCAGCCAGTTATTTGATGTCCCCGCATTAAAACCTTTCCTTCAATGTTTGCATCTACGAAACAAAAAGATAGGAATACAAGAACGTTGTTATAAATAAATTGTTTTTTAGAAAACTTGTGCCATGCTACGACACCCAACAATTTCAAGATAAACATTTAATCTTGTGAACGATACTTAAAGCCGTCTCGCATATACGTAGATACAACACATAGGTTGCCCAAAAATTGCTTTATCGAATTGACAAATGATCAATTTATTCTATCTACCAGAACAAAATTATCTTTTCATTTAGTAAAAAAAAAGCTCGCATCAGCCGATTGACTTCGTTCTTGGTGATGCAACTTTTGAGACAACCTGTATATGCAAATACACGTATTTAGACCATATGCATATATATAAAAAGATATATACACATAGAATACAACACAACGACTCTCTCTCTCTCTCTCTCTCTCTCTGTCTCTGTCTCTCTCTCTCTCTCTCTCGATCAGCAACGTCAACTACTCGTTTCCTTCTTGTCATAACCACAAATTGGAAAAGCTCGACTACTCAAAACTTGACTTGGAGTGTTGAGTGCAATGTTCGTCTCGATAAAAGTTAAATCTTTCTTTTTCTTATTTTTACGTACTACCTTAAGGAAAATTTTTGTTGTTTTTCTCATTCCCCTCGGTCGACCTATCATATCTCTCTTTTACTCGCTCTCAAAAAACGATAGAGAAGTTTGACTGTATCAAGACGATACTTACATTTTAATACGATGGCTCAACCGTGGACCGCATTCGTAGGCAGAAAACGATCCGACGAATACGACGTATATACTTGAACGACCACACAGCTTTATGATCCTTGTTCTTCTTAAACGAGCTAAGGCTGCTCCGATTCGCAAACTTCAGCTTCCTAGGGTTCTCCTTGCTGTTGCTGCTGGCTTCGATGGCTCGCTCGGGCTTGATCGCGTTCACTCACTCTCACTCGCACGTTTCTCCTCTACGATATGAGAGAGAAAGAGGGAGAGAGAGAAAGAGAGAGAGAGAGAGAGAGAGAGAGAGAGAGAGAGAGAGAGAAAGAGAGAGAGAGAAAGAGAGAGAAAGAGAGAGAGAGAGAGAGAGAGAGAGAAAGAGAGAGAGAAAGAAAGAGAAGAAAGAAAGAGAGACGAGTATATAATAGACTCGGACGAGCGACCGACTGGCCTGGCCAGATCTCAATGTCTGCTTTTCGCGGTTATATCAACTGTCTCTCTCTTTTTCTTTCTTCTTCTTTCTCTTGCTTGCTTTCTTTCTTTCTTCCTCCCTCCCACCCTCCCCCTCACGAATTCACTCTCACCCTTTTACTCAGACGTTCTTTTCTCGCTTTTCTCTTGTCCTTCACTCTAACTATCAGTATTCGTTCTATCTCGTTCGTTTGTAATTTCGTCTCCCTATTTCTTTCTCTCTTGCTCTCTTTGGCTTTTTGTATATAAAATTGTCACCGGTAATTACCAGTCGTGTCGTGACTTAGTCCTCGATGGTAGATCAGAAAATTGTCGTGACACTTGTACGCTTGCCGGCACAATTTGGAAAACCGATTTAATCGCTTTGGGAACCGTCGAAAATTAGTGGAAAGGAGAAAGTATTGACAAATACGTCGGCGTCGCGGCGGCACCGTCCTCCACTCCACTCGTACGTTACTCCGATGCGCGCCAGTGCTGCCACCAACCGGCTAATCTCTTCAAACTTCCTCGAACTATTTGAAAAATGAAAGAACCTTTCGAATACAACGGCTTTTCTTTTAAACTGATATATTTGCCCTCTAGCGAATAAATTGCTAACTTTTATCGTGTTTTACCTTTTACACCTTCCTAAGTTCCTAATTTCATATTATTTTTAAGGTTGTTTTATCTTCAAGACGTTATTTTCATTAAATTACTGTAAAAAAATATAATAAAATATATTATACCGACGTATAATACAGTTATTCAATTAAAAAAAAAAATTTTGATTTATTTTCAATCGAAGAAATACATTTTTCTATCGGATAATATCATTAATTGACCTATACCTCTGCATTTAGCATCAATTCTCTTTCAAAATTTATAACAAACCTAATCTAGGATTGGTCTTCTCTTTCATCTATCGTTCCTTTCGTTCTTCACATTGCTGTAGGATAAATATTTCATTTAAAGTTCATATTGTTCTTATAATAGAATATAAATCATCGATTATTGTATTTATTATTGAATGTTAATGATAGATTTTTCAATCTTTTGTTTAAATAAAATGAAATTACCTGATTATCCATTAACTTTACATAACTTTACTAAATCTATACTCGTTGACAACGGATCCCGTAGTAATGGCGCTCGGTAAAAACCCGCGAAAAGAGTGCTAATAGAACGAGCAAGACGATGCTGATTGGTTCTACATTTTAGTTACTACGGGACTCATAATAATATTTTTATATTATACAAATAAAAATCACACAACACACGCACACACAATAGCTTTTCAATCTACCAAGTTTTTTGACAATAAAAAATGAATTAATTTGTTCATAGTTAAAATAATTTTGTTCCCAAATATTTTGTTAAAAGTGAACAATTTTTGTTAAATTTTGAAAATACTTCATGTCTATATATCGATTACTTATTGATTATTATTGATCAAATCAATCGTTTTAATTATTTAACATATTCACATTTCATTCATTTTATAAAATTGTGAACAAATATTTATATTTAATTATATGTAAAATATATATTGTTAACATTAATACGTAGCAATAAATTCAAAACGATATTTCAATGTTACGGATAATTGATTTCAGAATGAAAAATCGAATAAAATGGTTCTTTTTATCATCATTGTTATTATTTCATTTGATATTGTACATTTTGCTATAAGTTTGGATATCGTTATTCAATAAAATAACCTCTTAAAATTAAAAAGGAAGGAAATAAAAATATGTATATATATACAGTAAAGTGTGTTGTAAGTTAATTACTACGCTACAGCTAAAATATAGATAATTGAAATGTTTTTTTATTTAACAGAAATATTGCTCTTTATGTTAATACTGATAAATTTTCATAAACGGATTATACCGCTTGTGTGTGTGGTGCTATTAATATCTAATTAATTAATCATAATATTGTTAATATCTCTAATACACATATCGTTTAATATCTAAACACTTAATATATAATTGTACAACGATTCTCATATTTTAGAACAATAAAATTTGACACATTATGTACAAAAAACAGATTGTATATTGCAGAATTTGGATTTGTTCTTCTTTTTTATTTTTGTTCATTTTCTTTTTATTGTTTTTTTTTGGTTTGCTTTTTTTATTTGCTGGAAATAATAGCTTCTTCTTTTTAAAAGATACATTAAGTTTTTTTTCTTTTTTTTTTTTTTTTTTTAAATTGTTTATCTTAATGTCGGATTAGTGCTAAAAATAAAAATTATTCTCCAAATCATTATTATTTTGGTGCTTCACATATTTTCTAAATCACCAATGTGCGTAAATGAGTTCTTCTCGCTCTTCTCGCAGCCTTTTTATATCATTATATAAAGATGCCCGAAAAATAATGTTAAAACAACTTACTGGAATTACCGTATGAAATATAGTCGTTAAGACTTAAAAATTTTTTTCTTTCTTATATATTAGTCGATTGACAAAATCAGTCTATATACATCATTGTGAAAAGTAATAGAATTGAAGTGTATGCTACAAATTTGAATTAATTTTTCATATGGTATCTAACTTGAAATTGGAACCACTTTTTTTTCTCTTCTTTTCTTTTCCTTTCATAAAACTTCTTATTGAGTTTTAATTTTTATCTCTTTTATTAAATCTTTTTTTTTAGTCACACGACTTAGCACGCATTAGTTCCAAAGGTACTAATGACGATAAAGCAAAAATATTAATTATTATTATTATTTTTTTTTTTCTTTTTTAAGTTCCTATTATGATCTACAATATTATATCACAGGAGTACGAAGAAGATACTTTTAAGTAATACTATGGTTGAACACAGTATATATGTCATGTCAATTTTTGTGCTGAACTTTGAAGTAATCATGGCATTGTTCATGAAAATGATACGAGAAATAAGAAAGATAAATATTTCAGTGATTAAAACGGAAACAAAAAAATTATCAAAGAAATGGGTTGTATATGCCATGCAACTTATACATTGCCATTTAAAACGTGTATATGTATATGTTTTGTGTGTTTTTTTTTATCCAACTTCTACCTAATATACTACCCAATTGTTATTGTGATATCATGTTTAAAAAAGTATCGTATATACTACTGAAAGAAGATATTTAGTTGCTCGTATCTTATTGATGACGAGAATTTAAAGTTCCTGCATGTAGGATACAGTACAGCCTAGATAATATGTCTATTTTTGTTAAACACATGCGATCAATGTTTGCAACAATACTGCTTTCCATGTGATGAATTTTTTCTTCCTTTTTTTCATTTCTCTCTTTTTTTTTTTCTTTTCACGTTAAGATGAACCATATTATTTGTAAAGAATCATATAACAACAATGTCTAACAACGACACTGAAGTGTGATACCCCTTTTCTTTTTCATTCGTTTCTTCTTTCTCCTAAAGAACCTAAATCTAAATTTAAAAACATTTTATATGAATCAATCGTTATCGTGTTGAAAATTGACTTGAAACTATTATCAAATTTAAAAATGATCAAAAATTTACAAAATATACATTCAAAATTGTCCAAACTTTTGGCACATCCTTCTATGATCTTTTTTTATGTATGTATACATATATATATACATATTAATAGTTTCGCAGAGTTTTTACATTTATAGATGTTAATAATATAGCCATTTTGTTACTTTGTTATTAAATTACTTAATAAAATAAATGCAAATATAACGATAAGCTAAAAGATATAAAAAAAATAGTATGCTATCTTTAAACTACCTATGTTTATGCACTGACATATATAAAAGAAAAAAAATCAACATGCAAAGTATATACATATATGCATAAATAGTGTATAAAATAAAAGGACGAGCATATAAAATAATTTAAATCCCGACGATTTGCTTTTTCATAAATCATGACAATTATTTACGACGCCGTACTTACATATAAAAGTGATTTTTTTATTGATCAAATTATCATAGCAATAAACAATTAAAAAATATACGATATATAATTTTTTTTCAATTGAAATATACGATTGCATAAACATTCGCAGTTCGGCGACGTGCACATTTATAATACCTTTTACAAAAAATATCTGTAATAAACTATAAAGTTATAAAGAGCCATTTTTGTACGTTCTGTGTATCACTTATTTCTGCTTTCTAATCAAATACCTGTAGTAATGTAACAGAAACGACGCAGATCTAACGAGCTTTTTTAGTACAAAACGTTATTATTTGTATCGAGATTTTTTCCTATCAACACTGCTCCATGTTATGCGCGCGTAAAGCGAATCGAATTTTATTTATTCTGTAATGAGCGTACGATCCTAATATTTAATACGCATTCGCGTATTTTGGTACTTACTCAACATATAGACATTATATATTTTTTCTTCTTCTGCTTCTTCTTCCTCTTTCTTTCTTTCTTTTCTTTTTTTTACATTTAATTTTCATCCGAAGATTCTGTAGAGCTTTGCGGCATGGTATTAAACCAATTTTCTCGAACTCCAGTACTCCTAAACAATGTAAAATAAAAACAAGAAATAAAATACAAGTTCTTTCGAGTTCGGATAAGGAAGCTTGAGTACTTGGAGGAAGGGGCATAGCTCTTGAATATATTAAGAAATCATTAATCAATAAAGGGTTTTAAGAGTTTTCACCTTGTACGTTGACGAGTACTTGTCGGCAGTGTAAGAGAAGTCCTATAATACTGAGGTGTGGCACTTGACGCTGTATCCTCTGGTCTCCTATGTAATGTCATGGTTTCGTGCGGTGATGTAACCAATTCATCTTCGTTATCCAAATAATAACGAGATCCAGTTGCGCTTTTACAATTTTCGCACTCGCTACGATAATCATCCGCATCATCGTGAAGAGTTGGAAGAGTTTGCATACTGCAAGTACAAGCTACCGATTCAAAACTTCCATCTTCGTTAATCTCATTAGCAATGTTTAAAGGAGGCTACAAATAAATAACACATCACAATTAAAATGAAATAATTGTCTCTTAGTATACGCGGGTAACAGATGTATAAAGTAATATTACTATTGCAGTACCTTAAAGTCACACGGTTTTCGCGAAGCAACATTTCCTTGTTGTCTTTCAATTTGAGTTACACTCGTGACGGACGTTATAACGTCTTTGCAAAATATATTAGAAGGATCTTGCATATGTTCTTGATCGTTAGAAACTGTCGGCGAAGCTGATTGCGGCAAATTCTTTGGTGACAAACTTCTCGGTGGGAGATGAAATATCTCGTCCGTAGAACGATCGCTCATAATATCTTTTATTCTAGTCGTAGGAGTATTATTCGTGAGCGTTCTCGGAATAGTACGATGAGCGGATATATCGGAACTCGGTAAGCTCGCGGATATTGTAAATGCACCACTTTGTCGAGGAAACGTGGTATGCTGTCGATAAGTTTTCGAAATAGTTGAATGCGAACTCGTTAATGGTTGGGTATCGTTACTTGCTGTAGCAATTTGATAAGTGAAATTCGTTATACCAGTGGATACTGGCAAATTTTCATATGTATTCGTAGATGCCGCGTAATTTGTAGCAGTGGATGTACCAACATTAAGGGTCGTTGATTGTTCACTCTGATTAAGTTGGTGACAGTTCGTATATGTGGTTAATGAACCGATCGCTACGTTTGACGATGATATTAATGGGACAGTGCTTGCACCGTTACTATTCGAAGGCATCGCTGAAGTCGAATTTAACGCATCTTGACTACTAGCTACAACGGCTATATTCGAATGACTATTGGTATCTTGCAAATAGCCGTTTGAAAAATTTAATGGAGACAATGTAGTATGGGGGGTCATAGATAAAAGTGCTTGCTCTGTCCTAGCAGCGGCTACAGCTTCTTCGTAAGGCGGAGGTGCTTCCCCGCGTGGGAAATAATTGTTTGCCGGTTTCCACAAAGGATATCCACCGCCGCAAGGCATGTCATCCATCGGAATGCCATGCTGTAGTCCTCCTCTTTCTAAATATCCCATACTGCCCAGATTTCTTTGGTCCTCTGCTAATTGTCTGCTTTGTCTTCCTGCCACACACACTAACATGGGATATCCTGAATCTTTTATGCATAATATCATTGTAAATTATGTAGCTACTAATATCATAGGATTTTCAAATCACTTTTATGATTATATATTATCTTTAAAAAAGCTATATGTGTATATACTGTATCATTATTCTAAAACATACCTCTAATTTTTCGTTGACGTAGGCGATATATTAAGAAAAATAGAAGACTTAAAGATAATATTGCCGTTACAAAACTGGCAACAGAACGTAATCCTATATCATAGTTAACGCTTCCTTCTACCAAGTTGGTACCGCTGCCATCAGATTTTTCATTAGCATCGTTTAAGCAAATAAATTCACAGCACTTTTCGCTTCTTCGCAAAGATTTACAATCTTCCTTAAAAGTTATATCAAAATAAGAATATATATATATCCAGACGTTTGGGCACATAATTTTATAAATAATTACACGCTATAACAAACAGGATATTAATTATCAATTAGATATTAGGATACCTCAAGAAATTTGCAGATAACAGCTTTGCACCATTTTGGATTGCCGTTGTCACAAACACAAAATGTACAAGGTTCCGGGCCAGGAAAGTAAAGGTAACCGCTTTCATAAGAACGTCCTTGTAAATCTTTGCAAGCAACTCCTTCTTCTGCGCGAACTGTAAGTATCCAACGATATGAATAATTTCTTATAAAAACATACATCAGAGATGAGTCCTACATTATGAAAAGCCATACATTTCAAAGAGGATAGCTGCAAAAAATATTTACATATTTAAATGTATACAACACAAAAGTAAGTACTCATAAAAAGCAACTGACAATTAGATGAAATCAATATTATCTTAACAAAATATTACCTATCAGCAAAGGTACACTCGTATAGGGTGTTATTATTTTATTAATTAAAAAAGAAGCATAAGTAAAAACTTAAATAAATAGAGCATGTTATCTATATATAGTTTAAGCATTGCCCTAATTCAGAGCCACACGCATTCGAACGCGGTCACATTGACGACAATTGTGATAAGCATAAGATTGATAGGACTTCCAAGTTAAGTTAAAAAGAAGCTAGAAGAAAAATTGATGTATTTTTAGACGTAAGAAAAAGAAACAAAGAAAGAGTGAAATAGAGAGAGAGAGTGAAATAGAGAGAGAGAGAGAAAGAGGGTGGGTGAGTGAGAGAGAGAATGAGAGAGAATGAGAGAGAATGAGAGAGAGAGAGAGAGAGAGAGAGAGAGAGAGAGAGAGAGAGAGAGAGAGAGAGAGAGAGAGAGAGAGAGAGAGAGAGAGAGAGAGAGCGAATATGGAGGTAATATACGAGGAATTAAAGATAAAATATAAGATGAAATAAATAAGATAGCGTTAAAATTTGTTGAACGCACCGTTAAGATGTAAAGTGAATGTGAGGACTGCATAACCGAGAAAGTCAACGTTGTTGTATTTCATTCTGCGTTCGTTATCTCATCATAGTTATCGCTCCGTGGTCCAACGGCAAGCCTTTTTACGTTTTTCCGTTTTATCGTGTATTAAACGTCAATTTTTTCTCGACGACATTTTGATTCCTGTTAGGGTACACTACCGATCTCTGCATCACGGTAGATAATAGCGACGAGAGTCGTGTCCAACCCGAAAGCCCGACATTACTCTACTTAACGCTCTCGCATCTCGGCCTATTTCCGTATTTCCTTTTCTACTATCTATATACGTCTCCTTTCCTTCGAATGAGCACAGCGACACCCGAATTGATCGATTAACGAACGGAACAGCCGTCCGACCACTGACGTCTATACTACCACCATCTGTCCGTAACATCTAGTACTTAAATTCCACCCTCCCACTGAAACGCGCACGCCGCGCGCGCTAAACGCAACACTCACCTTACTCTTTTTATCGTTTATATTTCTTAATGAAAATAAGAGTATTGTATCGAAGCATTTTTCTCCTTTATAAGTAGATATTTACCTACTACGATGATTTCACTGCAGATGATTTCACTGCAAATGATTTCACCGCAAATGATTTCACTGCAAATGATTTCAATCAAAATAGAAAAAATAATATATTCGATAAAAATTCACACGTCCAGTCTCGATCAGTATCGAAACTCGAATTCGTAGGCGGTTAACTCTATTCAATGATCGATCGTTATTTTATTACGAGAACTTGTGTAATTAAATGATTGAGTCTCTGTTTGCCGACTGACTAGCAGATTATAAATTTTGATCACGTTCGCGTTTATTTGTCCTGCACAACGTAGAACGAATTGCTCCTGAACGGTTCGTGTTTAACAATAATTATGTTCCCCGATCGATAACGTTCATATGTATATTACGTTTGCAATATTATACTACGATATATACTTCCTAACTAATTTTTCAAGCTTAAAAATAAAAGAATAAATAAAACAAAAGAAGCGAAATCAAACTAAATATCGAAAACACGAACTTCACGTTCGTCGAAAAATCATTCAAAACTTTTCGTTTAAACTATTTCCTTGTAAAATATAAAAACCAAATTTTTCGAGCAACAAAATGAATTGACCAATTTGTTTTTCCTACCACATCAACGCAAATTTAATTAAATCTGATTCAAAAGAGAAAGAAAACAAAAGTAAAAAAGTTAACAAAAAAATGGAACACAATTGAAAATTTTGGTCCGTTTAAACGATGTAGAAAAAGTCGATAAAATGAAGTTTCACGATCTATCGCACAAAGGAAAATTATAAATGGAAAGGAGATAAAAAAAGTTATAACATACAAGCGAGCACACAGACGTCAAATTTATAATCAGGTATGGATATGAACGATGACGATCCGGAGGACGTGAAACGTGCACTCTCGATAGAGAAAGAAATAAATAAAGGTAAAAGAGATGACAAATTTGAGGGATATCCACGTTTTGAGAAGAATAAGGAAAGATGGTTACGCTGCGTCAAACCATCGGCAAAAAAGAAAGCCCAAGTAAAAAAATAATAATATAATATAATAATATAAAATTGAAAATTATATTTGAGATGTACCAATCAACCAATTGGATGACTAGAAATCTACGGCGGAGAGTGAATGTTGTGAGAGAATAAAAACCTCGGCGGGGGCGGCGGCAGCAATGAAGGAGAAAAAGCAAGTAACAGTGATGATTTACGGTAAACCCTGCATTTTCCCAAAACTGGACATCATTCCGAGACATTGTCTGTCGAAGAAAGAATACATCGACGTGCTAGCGACTCCGAGGTTTGATTGATAGAATTATTGTCACGAGCCATGCGCATGGCCTATATATATAGATTTTATTCGTAATTCACTGAAAAATGACATTACCTTTTTCATCCAAATGCTTAACTACAAAACAAAGTGGAATGGCGTACCCGCATAAATGAATTTTAACCGTTTTAATTGATCAAATAATACAAAATAACATTACGTACATTCTAATCATCGTTGTTTTTAAACAGTCGTAGATGTCCACCAGCGTGTCTGCAAGAGACAGTGATAAGAAAATTAAAGCCAGTTTCTCAAAGAATCAAAGAATTAGCTCGACCAACAAAACACCGTATGTTGATGACCCTGCAAGAGGGTGCTTCCAGATTGAAACCCGAATTCGTGGACAATTTAATCAAATCTTTGGAGGGTGAAACTTGTCTAACGCCAGAGTAAAGTGGTTTTTAACATTTCTTAATTATTAATAATAAATAAATTGTCATTATATAAGATGACAATATTATCGATGATTATTTCAGGCAAGCAGCGAAAGCGTTTCGCAATAAAAAACGTAAAAGAATATCTCAGAGACGAAAAAAGGAACGTAAGTTTAACCGTTATACGCGAAAAGCTAAGAAATCAGGTACACTTAGTGCAACGATATTGGATAAGGATGCTGTAACTTGTCAATATATGATGGCCGAACGTTTTGTGAAGAGTATTCTTGATTGGAGATGTCCAATACCAAAAGAAGAATACGAGGATATAGCCAATGTGATAATCAAGAGATTGAGTTACGCTCTCGAATATACGCCATTAGATGAGAGCGATCGTAAATCGCAACAGATGCGTTTCCTCGCGGACGTTGTAGCTTGTTGGATATCCGGAGTGCTTTTCGAAGTTGCGGAAGATCGTAAGAAGGAATTGGAACAAGTATGCGAGAAGAAACGAAAGGAGGAGGAGGAGGAGGAGGAGGAGGGGGATGAAGATGAGGAAGATGACCAGGAAGAAGACGAGGAAGAAGACGAGGAAGAAGACGAGGAAGACGACGAGGAAGAAGAAGAAGAAAAGGAAGAAGAGGGGACTGATAAGGAAGCCCAAGAAAGGGTTCAGCAGGAAGAAAGAAGGAAAATGGAGGAGGAAGAAGAAGCAACATTAGAAAGTGAACGACAGCAACAGGAAGAAAAAGAAAGAATTGAGGAAGAAGCAAGGATACAGAAAGAGATGGAAAAAGAAGAAGAAGAAGAAGAAGAAAGAAGAAAGAAAGCTGAGGAAGAAAAAGAAGAAGCTAGATTAGAAAAAGAGAAGGAAGAAGAAGAAAAAAGAAAGAAAGCTGAGGAAGAAGTAGAAGCTAGATTAGAAAAAGAGAAGGAAGAAGAAGAAAGAAGAAAAAAAGCTGAGGAAGAAGAAGAAGAAGAAAGAAGAAAGAAAGATAAGGAAGAAGAAGAAAGAAGAAAGAAAGATAAGGAAAAAGAAGAAAGAAGAAAGAAAGATGAGGAAGAAGAGAAAGGAAAGAAAGAAATAAAGTCTACAGCAACGGTTGGGGATTACGGCGATCTCTTCTCTACCGACGTACCGTTCGTGACCTTTAGTAAAGTGATCGACGTTCTTTATGCTATGTTAGAATCCATGGCAGAAAGTAAAGGCGTTGATCTGATTCGCGATCGTATTCAAGCCGCGATCTATGATAAGTTTCGAACCGTTATAGAAAGGGAAGATCCGAAAGCATTGAACGAACATATGAAAGATGTCTTGATCGTTTTGGCTGGAAAAATAGCAAATTGGATGAAAAATATTCTTACAGAGTCGCAAATTATTTTCCTCGACAGATATCCAGCTGAAGTTGAATCCATCGAAATTAGGGATTGGTCGAAATGGCTGACTTATGTAAGCGATACCGCCGACAATTGGGCTACCTGGCTTCGCAAGGTTCTCCAGGAAGCTGAAGGTATTAACGAAGAGGGAATAACCCGAGGCGATTGGCAAGACTGGACGAAATCCGTCGACGTTGATGCTCTCCTTTGGAGACGCTTTCATCTACAAACCATTCACCAGGCTCATAGAAACGTCACGTTGATGGCGCAGAGAGAAGTCGTTAAGACTGGGACCAAGACAATGAACTTCACCGAGAAAGAAATACGGAACGCCGATCTTCAAATTGTCGCTTGATTACCAAAAACTAAATTTCACTAAACTTCTTCCACACTAACTTTCTGGAACGATCTAGAAACGATCGTGATACGAGATCAATTTCATTTAATATTTGTCTGTTTTTTTTTAGACTTCAATTGAAAACAACTTCTCTACGTTTTCTATCGTGATTTTCTATTTGCTAAACGAATAAATTCTGTTTCTTTTTTTTCCACGATACATATTAAAAAGTATATGATATATATGGCATAAGTATTCGTTAAACGTGTACACGATCAACGTTATTTCCGGATTTTCTCTTTAACATATGTACGTACGTTCGTATAAGTATACGATAGATTCAAAGGTCTTTTATTCAAAGTTGGACATTAAATCAATATTACGCAAATGATGTCTTTAGCTTAAGTATGACTTGCTTAAAATCCAAAAATATATTCTTATTATAAGAATAAGCGCGGGAAATATAAATATTTTATGATTATTTTCATATAAAACCAACAAGTTTATCGAAGATTTGATAAATTTACGAAGCCCTGTTAAAAATCATCAAATCATTGAATGACATTACGTAAACGATTTTATTTCGAATAACATTTTCAAAATATTCTACAATAGAAAGAAGTGATCTCTGACAAAATCAACGATATGATAATATAATCTAATCCGATGAACAATGCTTCGTCGTATTTCATTTTTAGTAGGGTTTTAATTAACGATATGCAATCTAAATGCACGATCCTTGGATCTCCTCGGACTTTCACCAAATTACTTAGGTTTCTTTACCAAATCCGGAAAGGAGGAAAGTTGACGCCGCGCGTTCGAAGAATTCTTGAACGAACGAACGAACGAACGAACGAACGAACAAACGAACGAACAAACGAACGAACAAACGAACGAACAAACGATTGATTTCCAACGAGTAAAAAACGAATCGATCGTTGGTTGATGTGCGAAGAAAACAGTGGCGAAAGATAAACAGTTGCGACGCAATAATTGCTTGTCAAAACTTTAGAATATTATTCATGAGTCAAACTATTCAAATTCTGTAAATATTTTCCTCCGTCATTATCAAGGCATGCCTTATCGTTTTTAGCGTGTTTTTTATTCAACTTGAAATTTTTCCTTTCAATCCAAGAGCATAAAACTTGTAACGTTTTTCTTCTTCTATAATTCAAGCAAATAATTTTGAACGTTCAAGACAAAATTAATTCCTATAACTTGATAGCAGCTATATTAATTCACCAAAAGATTCGCGTAAATTTATTTATTTAATAATATATTTGATAAAATAAATAATTTGAATATCAAATAAATCATAAAGTTAATCTACTTATATATTATATAGATATCTGAAAAATATGACAATGTGAAACTTTGATTGGTCTGATAGAAATAATAATATAATAATATTATAAATACAATAATATTCGAGATAGTTGTAAGGTTAGTAATGCATCAAACGGAAAAAATATGTAAACGAGATTCGTTGAAATACTTGAAGAGTACATTGACCTACTGCCCCGAAGTGAATAGAAGTCGGTTAACCGTAAAAAGAAAGAAGGAAAGAATGAGTGAGTGAGAGAAGTAAAATATAGCCAACGGTACATAAATTAGTAAATAAAAGTTCATGATACGTATCTATGTGTCTTTCTCGATTAAAATCGGATCGATTATTTTACTCATTTTGATTGAAGCGCGAAGAAAAATTTAGGGAACAAAAATTTCTCTTTACCGATCCGAGATATCAAATGTTAAAATATTCGCTGGGTATGAAACTATTAGAAAAAAATAACAAAGGAACAAAAGTATAACTTGAAAAAAAGTGTGGAAGCAACTGTTCGGAAAAATGAAGGTGCCGAAAGGCAAATCGTAAAACTACGACAGGACAGGTGTCTTGAACATGAGAAATACTTAGGAGGGAATAACGAAAAAGTAAACAACAAAGTTAACAATGGCAAATCCAACAACGTTGGCGAAATAAAAAGAGAGAGAGAGAGAGAGAGAGAGAGAGAGAGAGAGAGAGAGAGAGAGAGACATATATTGAAAAAAAGAAAGTAACGTCGATTGACGCTTCTATACCAAGTACCCTAATTTCTCAAGCTAGGGAGCATGAATGGTATGGGTGGGAGAGGAAGGAAGTAAAGTATGTCGGAGAAAGAACAACTCTCTCTCTTTCTCTCTCTCTCTCTTTCTCTCTCGATTATAAGACGAGACGAGACGAGGATAGGACGAGGTGAAAGAGGTGCTGGGAAGAAAGTAGAAGCAGTGAGGGTTCTGGAGAGGGGAGTATAGAGGGGAGAGAATAAGTTATCCCATAGCTATGACATTGCGCGCGCGCATTTCTCTCAATAGCCGTAGTCACGTTTACGCCGACGTACTATCGATCCTATTCCCCTCTATGCTATCACCTTGTTTCTCTTCTTCTTCTTCTTACACTCCTCAAGCCCTATTTCACTATCACTATCTTTCTTTCTCCCTCTTTTATCCCGATTGGTGAGTTCTCTTTTTTTCTGCATATCTGCGGCACAGTGAAGACATCTTTTAACAGGAAGACATCGGTGTATTCGTTATAATCGTACAATTCCTTCTCTTGCTACTAACACACAAGTTCATATCAAAGTTTTGTAATAATTGTCTTTACTACGCGTGTGTATTTCCAGCAATTTTCTCTCTCTCTCTCTTTCCCTTCCATTCCGTTTTAATTTGATCTTGTTAATTATCTTCGAAATAGAATAAAAGAAAGAGAGAGAGAGAGAGAGAGAGAGAGAGAGAGAGAGAGAGAGAGAGAGAGAGAAAACAATTGAATGGGATTGTTTAAAGAAAAAGAAGATAAGAGTTAATCAAGGTTCCTCGCTCTTGAAAAGAGATCGGATGTCAATAGGTTTGATCGTGACAAGTAAGAAAAAAGTGTGAAAGTGTATACCTAAAGCAAACTAATCCAGGAAAAGCTATTTGCTTAGACACGATCGCGCGATTTTGATATCTTATCTTACTCTTACGATTCTACTAATAAAATAGTGTTTATATTTTAACTATGGCAATGTTTTATGAGTTCTTATTTAAGGATTCACATTCTAATAATCAATAGAATTTCGTTATCTTTTTTCTTATTTTCAATCATATAAAAACGTTTACGCGATCATTTCGTATATGAATAATTTATACTTTATATATAATTATTAATAATTGAAATTATACTCATTATTAAATATTTCATATATTGACATTTTGTGTATTTAACTTTTGTTTTATTTAATGATCGTCAAAAAATATCGAAATTTGATCTGTAGGAAATAAGTCATATGGTTTGAATTAAAAAGAAAAAGAAAAAGAAAAAGAAAAAGAAAAAGAAAAAGAAAAAGAAAAAGAAAAAGAAAAAGAAAAAGGAAAGAAAAAGATAAAGAATTTTGTTTGTCATGCCACAGGGTAAATAAATTTCATTATAGTTCATAAGCCTCGAGGTCATCGCTTAATGCACGATGACTGGCTGATTAAGCGTTGACGCAAACGTAATTCGATAAACGTTATCAGTCTCAGTCTGTTATAGAACGGCAGTGGTCATTGCAAAAGAAAATTCGAAAAGGAAAATATATTTTAGGATGTTGACGTGCTGGGAGAAGATCTCTTTGGTTGTCCTCACTGCTGTGGGTCTGAGAATTTTAATAAGAGGAGGCCTATTGGCTTGGAAAAAGTTATTAGCACCTAATTTAGGCTTAGGTGTAGATTTAACGAGTCAAGGTAGATGGGCAGTAATCACGGGGGCAACCGATGGACTCGGAAAAGCTTTCGCTAAGGCTTTTGCTAGTAAAGGACTCGACATTGTCCTAGTCTCAAGATCATTGGCAAAACTCAAAGATGTTGCAACCGAGATAAAAGAGGAATACGGAGTTGAGACCCGTGTCGTTGAAGCTGATTTAACCGAAGGTCAAATGGTTTACTCTAAAATCGCTGAAACTATCGAAGAACTCGAGGTACGGTCATTTATCAATATTCTTCTACGATATTAGCAAAGTTAATTAATTCCATTTCAAGTATACTTCCTATTATTGTCTTACTTATAATAGAAATTACAGAGTGTTCGACGTTCTGAGATTTCAAAGTTCACGTCACGCCCGTGTTTCTACGGCGAACGAACATATGCAAAATATATTGTTTCAAGGCAAAAATTAATTGGATGATCAAAATTATGATAATAATCTAATTGTTTTTACAGGTTGGCATTCTTATTAACAGCGCTGGAATGAGTTACGAGCATCCAGAATTTCTAACAAACATGCCAGAAGATACGCTAAATAAAATATTACAATTGAACGTGGCTGGTCTTACCGGTACCACAAGGGTGGTTCTACCAGGCATGATAAAAAGACGAAAGGGTGTTGTCATTAATATCAGCTCGATAACGGGTGATATTCCAAGTCCATATTTAACAGTCTATGCAGCTAGCAAAGCTTACGTCATTAAATTTAGTGCCGATTTAGCTGCGGAAGTAGTTTCGAAAGGTGTTACCGTGCAGTGCATCATTCCCGGAGCAGTTGCCACCAAGATGACCAAAATCAAGTGAGAACGGTTTTTACCTTTTTCATTCATTTGACTTTTACAATGTTTGCATATTTTGACGAGATTATCGACAAATCTAATTTATTTATTCATTTCATTTCATTAGAAAGCCAACATGGATGGCACCGACACCTGATAAGTTCGTCGAGGCAACCTTGAAAACTGTAGGAATCGAATCGCTAACAACTGGATATCCTCCGCACTATTTGGTCTACGGATTTATGAAGACTCTGATATGCGTATGTGAGAAGGGTGCTATGTGGTTAGTGACCAGGACGATGCTCAATTTAAGAGGACGTGCTCTTCGAAAAAAGACGAGGGAACAAAAGCAAATGAAAGAAATACCGCAAAGCGATGATCTCCTTACGGAATAAATTCCTCCAAGCCATTTTTCAAGTTATTTTCTCATCTATTACTATCGTAATTCGCAGGATCTCTCTTACTACGTAAAATGATAATATTACTTATTAAGTACACGTGTGTGTGTGCGTGCGTGCTTGCGTGCGTGCGTGCGTGTATCTGTGTGTCTGTATGCAGTGAATTTTATTGCAAACGTATTGCATTTCATTCTTAGAGAAAAATAATTTTACTTACGAGGAAACACCAGTGTCAATTTTTCAAAAAATAGATTTCCTTTCGAAATAGACCCATGAAGGAAATTGTTCCTTTATGATATGCACTACATATATATATAATATATAAATTTATAATAAAATTTACAAAATAAATATTTACCTATATATCGTGTGAATAAATGGAAAAATTATTGACATAGAGTAGAAATGTACAGATGTCAACTACTGTACAACTACTGTACTACTACTGTACTACTACTGTACTACTACTGTAGAGAAAAGGAATAAAATTTCTGAGTTGTGGTGGCATGTGGTGGGATGAAAAGTGAAGAGTCTATTATGCAGAGGAGTGCAAATTTTTATCATGTTTTTTAAAAGGTTTCGTTACAAGATTTTTTCATACTTACACGGAAGAAATTGTAATATATAACTTATATATAATAGAAATGTACTGTGTCTATTACGTGTAAAAGGGCTGAAAATTTTTACATATCTTTCTTGGTAGATAACGTAACATCATTACTCCATCAGTAATATTTAAAATCGAACAAATGCCTATCGTCTTATGCTAAAAAACCAGCGTCTTTGTCGGCAGATCTAAAAGATAAGACGGCTACGCTTACCGTCTCCTACAATATATTATAATAATATTCTTTTTGATGAGAATATCCCCCTCCACAGTCAGCACTGCACAGAAACGTTAAAACATATTTATATTAATTTAAACAATTATATTAAATTTAAAAAAAGGAAAATCATAACGTTATAATCCTAATTTCTATTAATGACAATTAATATTTCCGTTATGCACACATGCGCAACTTTCAGAAAGCCATATAAAAAACTTTCGATAGTAAAAACTTTTTTATGTCAAAACGTATAAGTCTAACAAAAGATTTCGAAGAGAAAAGAACATCGAAAGCAAAATCC